GCAAAACCGATATTAGGATCACCTATTTGCATATTAGGTATGTTTTCTTTCACGATGGTTTGTACAAAAGAGTGAAAGTTTGTGCCGAATACCGATCTCGAGGGGAATTACAAGTTTTTACTGGATGAAATATTTAATTTTTAGAACTTTAAATCGGCAAAATATAACCACTAAAATGCAATTTCAGTAAACTTTAAACTTCGTGCAACGTTAAGTCTTCTTAATTTTTATATTTCTCGCATTGCATCCACATGAACAAATTTATTATGAGTTTAGTGTTTTTCTGCACGTAAACAATCCTCAGTTCAGAAATGCGTTATGCCTTAGTCTCTTGTTTGTAAACTATAATTTATAGAAATGCCCTAAGCATTTCTCCTGATTAATTTTTAACTTCGAAAGAATAATGGGATCAAAAGGATCAAATTAAAGATCTTGAGTAGCACTAAAACGTACAACAACAACAAAAAGTGCATATTTCAAACCAAACCGCTTCCAAACCAAAACCGAAATGAGAACAAAATGCTCGAGAACGTTCTTAATGGGAATATATAAGAACAAAACCCTGCGGAACGTTCCCAAAGATAATGAAATGCAAACAATACCTTCTTGAACATTTCTAGGAGAATAAAATGGGAATAAATGTCTGCGGGACCTTTTGGCAAAGAACAAAACGGAAGCAAAAGTCTAAGGAACTTTGTGACAGAGAACGAAACGGGAACAAATATTCTCGGACCTATTCACGAAGAATGGGAGCGAGAGCAAAATTTTTCATATAGCGCTCATTAGATTGAAATGTTTGAGTAGTAAAATTAATAAACAAAAAACTGAAACATAACTATGCAAATTAAGTCAATGAAAAACTTAAGATAAGAACTTGTCTGCACAGAAGATTAAAAATTGTTCCATAAATGGACAGTTCACCCTAATGATGAACCATCTGGAATGATTTTTTATCTCAACACGCAGACGCCTCTCGCATTCTTAACGTTAAGTTCTCAACACGTTTGTTCTCTAGAAAAACGTTCCCCAGACTTTTGTTTTAATTTGATCCTCCTTGAAAATGTTCTCGATACTATCGTTTTCATTTTGTTCTTATTGGAAATGTTTCGTTCTAATTATGTTCTTCTTCTTTAGGACGTTCCCTAGAGTTTTGCCCGCATTTTCTTCTTTATGGAAAGGTTCCCGAACCTTGTTTTTGTCATTTAGTTTCCTTTTGGTCCTTTGTTGGAATGTTCATTTTGTTCTCGTGCAGATCTAAACCTCGGTTTCTGATCCTTTGCCTACATATGTATGTTAAAATTTTGTGTTTCATAACGCGTCTGGACAAAATAACCTAAAGGAATTTTACAAATGGCCGAACCGTACCCAGGAAATGAAGCATACGATTTTGTGCTCTATTTTTATGTTTGTTATGCGATGGGCAAAGAGAATGTATGTATAGAAAGCTTAAAAGAGCTTTGCCCGCGGGCAGTGTTCGTTGCCAACGCAACCCGAAAGTTATATTAGAAACGGCAAAATTTTGTTTTGAACATAAAAATCGATAATATCGGACTGCGCGACATCTAGTGAAAAAATTTGTCGGATTCAAATCCGATACCGAGAACATCGAATGACATAACGACGTATAAATTCCCAAAGAAGGTTTTTGATAGTTATGGTGAAAAGTTACACGATTGAGCATGCAATATCGATATTTAGATAGAACTGACTACCAAAATTTTATTATCAATTCGTCACGTGTTCGTTAGTGAAAACTTTGACAGCATTGTGCTCATCATCATCATCTACAGCACAAAGTTCAGCAGGCGGCAATGTATCCACAAAAATTGGGGTTTGGTGGTAGTTTTAACTCGCGGCGGTGTCGTCGGTCCACACTTATTTGAAACTATAGGGGTATTCTCGAAATCCTGCAAAGCCGTTGCACGTAGCAGGAATGGCACGGATTTCATAACTTGCAAACACACAACAACAAAATACATAGGAAACAACATTTCCTATCGCTGCAAAGTATGCAACGTCGAAACCCATGTATATATTTTGCAGCAAAGCATAGCAAACAAATGCGACCCTGTGCTATTTGTTTTGTTGTTGGAATTGCTACAAGTTCTTCTCATTTCGCCTACTCTACTTTTTTTGTCGCTGTATCTCGATGACGGATGTATAAATACGTGTTTAATAGTGACATCCACAAAATGTACAGGCAAATTTAAGTCAACCCGTCTCATAGGCCCTATCAAAGGATTCTTTTTAGAAAGGATCCACATAGTAGTATACAAGATTTTCAGTTGAGGACGGTAACGTTTGGAGTTAATTGTGCGCCATACTTGGCAATTAGGATTCTTCGGCAGTTAGCTCAGGATTCTCATGATTCACATCCACTAGTGGTTCAGATTTTACGAAATTCTATGTATGTAGATGACGTTTTAGCGGGATTTCACGATGTATCCACAGCTTTACAGGCACGAGACCAGCTGCTGGAAGCACTTGATAGTGCAGGATTTTCTTTGAGGAAATGGTCTTTAAATACAAAGGAGATCCTCATGAGTATTTATTAAAGAGAGAATTTTTAACTTTAGATGAGACAAGCACAACAAAAGCACTAGGGATTAGATGGAATGCTAGATTAGACCATCTTTAGCGTTCAGACCCTCCCTTAAAAGGATAGCTACACTAAACGAGAAGTGTTGTCAACGATAGCGAAATTTTTTGACCCAGCTGGTTGGCTAGCTCCGGTGGTGGTCATAGCTAAAATAGTGATCCAACAAATTTGGTCAGATGGTACTCTCTGGGATCAGCCTATAAGTTCTCTAACACTTTTGAAATGGAAAACCTTTGTAGAAAGTTATAGGTATATCGATGTCATAAAAATCCCGCGCTGGGTAAATTTCACCATTGAGTCACCATTCGAAGTCCATGCCTTTTGCGACGCGTCGGAAAAGGCATACGCGGGGGTGATATATTTGCGGGTAGAAAACCACGGTACAGTGTCACACCTTTTATTAGCAAAAACTAAAGTTGCACCAATAAAAACTATTTCGCTTCCTCGTTTGGAGTTGTGTGGGGCGGTTCTAATTGTCGATATGCTTAGGTCTCTTCTAAATGAACTTCCTTTCTAGGTGGAAAACATATTTTGCTGGACAGACTCAACCATCGTTCTCTCGTTGCTCAAAAAGCAGCCCTGCTCCTAGACCACCATTGTCGCAAATCGAGTAGCAAAGATATAGGAATTAGTCGGATTTAGATATTGGAATCACGTGGACTCGAAGGATAATCCAGCAGATCTTGGCGGCAGAGGAGCATACCCTCAGGACTTATGCGCAAGTGAGTTGTGGGGGCACGGCCCTTCCTGGTTAGGTAAAGATGCAGGGCAATGGCCATCAATGGATGACGACCTGGACGATATCACGATAGAAGCAAGGAAAATAAAGGCGCACGCTTCGCTTGTGTCAAACCATGAGGATCCCTTAGAAAGATTTTCATCTTTTCCGCGCGCACTGCGTGTTTTAGCTTACGTCTTCCGGTTTTACAACAGGACTAACCGGCACACTCGAAGATTCCACTCGTATCCATCGCTAGCGGTTTCGGGAGAGGAAATCTCGAAAATTCGTAATCGGCTTATAATTCTGTCACAGATGAAGCATTTTTTGGAAGAACAGAGATGTCTGACTTCAAAAACTCCAATTTCGCCGAAAAGCAAAATTTTAACCTTGAATCCCTTCTTAGACTGTCAGGGTATAATGAGAGTCAATGGTCGACTCGCAAATTGGCTTATTTTATCTTATAATGAAAAACATTACATTCTTCTACCTTATAGTTGTTCGTTCTCAAGGTTGTTAGTTCACTTGATCCATAACATTTCTCTTCATGGAGGAAATCAATTGATGCTGCGGCTGCTTCGCCAACAGTATTGGATTCCAAAGGCAAAGAATCTCATAAAGACTGTCATTCATAACTGCAGAACTTGCGTCATTCATAAAAAGCGGAATCAATCCCAAATCATGGCTGCCCTTCCTGAAGAGCGAATGACCCTTTCCAGGCCTTTTCAAAATACTGGAGTCGATTTTGCCGGCCCATTTGATATTAAGAGTTTCACTGGTAGAGCATGTAAAATCACCAAAGGTTATGTTTGCATATTTGTATGTTTTTCCACAAGGGCAATTCACCTGGAAGGTACAAGCGATCTGTCCACAGAGACCTTTCTTGGCGCATTCTCGCGATTCATATCTAGACGAAGCTGCCCTCAGCAAATCTTTTCGGACAATGGGACCAATTTTGTAGGTGCGGCAGCTAACTTGAAAAAGGAATTCAAGAAATTCCTAACCACGTCGCGGGAGTCTTTGTGCAATATGTACAGTCATCAGGAAGTGTCTTGGAACTTTATCCCTGCCGGCGCTCCTCACATTCGAGGACTATGGGAAGCTGGAGTCAAAAGCATCAAATTTCATTTTCGACGTACCGCCGCTTCTCAAAAATTCACCTTTGAAGAGTTTCAAACCCTACTTTGTCGTATTGAATCCTGTCTAAATTCTAGGCCGATATCGCCCAATTCCAACGACGCCGCAGATTGTGCAGCCCTCACACCTGGTCACTTTCTCACGCGTGGTTCCATACTTTCTCCCCCCGAACCCTCCATAGAAGCAAACCCAGTCTCGATAATTAATCGGTGGCAAAAAATAAAGGCTCTTAGCCAGCAACACTCTCTTCGATGGAAAGAGGAATATCTCAAAGAACTCCATAAACGCTACAAATGGAAATCCCCTCAAAAAGATATCGCCGTCGATGACCTAGTTGTAGTTCCCCATGAAAATCTCCCTCCTAACGAGTGGCGCTTGGGCAGAGTCGCAAAGATTTATAAAGGCTCCGATAAAAGAATTCGTGTTGCAGACATTCGCACACAAAAGGGATTGATAACGCGACCTATCGTGAAGTTAGTGGTCTTACCAAACTAACCCCTCATATCAATACTTTCCCTTTTTTTGTGCCGCTTTAGCATCAAGACCATGGAACTAGTAGATCGATCGACACCATCATCGCCACGCGCCTCGCCTCCACTGCCACCGACAGATGCCTCCGCCCAGCGCGCAGCCAGGGAAGGCAGGTCCAAATGTAGAGTTTGTCACCGGTCGCATCCTCTCCGGTATTGCAGGCGATTCTTAGATGCCAACTATGAGCGCCAGCTGCGCCTTGTGCTTCTCCATCGGTATTGCTCGCGATGTTTAGCCCACTCCCACACGGCCAAGAACTGTCTGAGCAACGGGACGTGCCAATATTGTTGCATGCAAACCCCCGTCTTTCTCCCTGACGCCAACTTCCCCTACTTTTAACGCAGCTTTCGGGAACAGTCACCGTTCTAACCACCGTGGCGGTTTACCTACACATCGGGCCTCGGAAATTTTTAGCTCGGGCTCTGATAGACCCTTGCTCGCAAACGAGCAAAGTTTGCCACGCGCTGGTGCACCGGCTCCGCCTAAAGACGGTGCCCGTGGCGAATATCAGCATGTGCGAGCCCCACGTAAGCTCGTCAAATGATGCACATGTGCGATTCTCCTTGCCGGCGAGGGTACTGTCGGAGATCGGGTTGAAAACTCCCGCTCGTCACCTCAGCTCGCCGATCCTGGCTTCCACACTTCCTCTGCCGTCGCCTTGATTTTCGGTGGGGATGTATATCTTAAAATAATAAGAGGCGAACTTATTGCTTATCTTGGGTTTCCTACCGCCCAGAACTCTATTTTCGGATGGGTCCTTTCTGGCCCATGTGCCCTTTAAGGCACAGCGACCCCTTACTGGGTAAATTATATAGTATTTTTAAAGTTGGCATTTAATTGGAACTGAATTATTTGAATAAATGTAAAAAAAAAACTAACACAATACAGTTCAACAATTTAATATTTTTTGCACGCATCCTAGTTTTAAGTATCGTACTAAATTTGAATTTGTATATATTATATTTCAATCTCTAGCTAAACCTACTTTTTAAGTAATCTAATTTGAAGCATCTTGCTATTCCTCAGTATTGCAAGGCTGGCGGCAATGTTGCAGCCAAAAACCTTCAATAGTTGGGAACCACTGGTAAGTGTTCTGCACCGTTGTTCGCTGCAAAGCTACACCGCTGCGGGAAAACTACCGGTGGGCTTCTTTCGAAGTTCAAGATTATTTAATGCGATGTTCGGTTTGAACTGCGGTTCTTTTGGATGCCAGACCGACAGCAGCATTGAGTCAGCGATCACTATTTAAGGTAATATCCACAATACATATGTATATTGTGAACATTCATTCCTTTGTCCTACTTTGCTTATGTATATAGTATTTGAGTAAGGCATATAACTTAGTATATGCGCTTGCAATAAACCATCTTACATACATATATACTTATTCTAATACAAGCGTTTATATTTCTTTTTTTTCCTTGTGATACATCGTCGTGAGTTCGCACCGGCGTACGTTGGTTTTGCTTCTCAGCAAAACGCATTCCTTATCGCAAAGTTATTTTAAAGCACTCAGCATATTATTAATTTCAAGTATTATGATTTAAGCTTGAGAGTGAAAATTATTCCTATATATTCTCACTAAGGCATAGGCATACTCATTACAAGGATCTTTTCGACTTAATTATTTTCACGTTCTGCGAAAGCTCGGCGAATGGCGGACTCCCTTAACTGAAGTTACATTGATGAGGCCTAGTCAAATTACTAGTGATGCCTTTGTAGGTGGTAACAGCAGGATGTCGCTTTTGGTGAACGAGGCAAACATCATTGAAATGTATTCATAAGATAAAAGTACGGTTAATATCTGGTATATGCTCTCCAGCAGATATTTTCAACATCACTTTTGCTCTCACTTCCCCTCGGGCTACTAGAAGGCTATTGGCGGTCTGGGTTATTTTTTCAGCCAAGGGCACTCCGAGCCAACATACCTATGTATATATAAAGGTCAGATGGCTGATGGACCAAGTCGGCTGGAGAGTCGCTGAATATCCTTCTGAATACTCACTTCCCAGAACGCAGGGTCGATGTAGTGGAAACCGCGCGCCAAACCATCTACCAACCAAGAAGACAATAATTCCCCGAGGCGTATCAGACTTCTATTCACGATACGTGGGCAGTCACATAGAATATGCTCTGGGGTTTCTCCACAAGCTTACGAAACCTGCAGCCCATCTCTTCAAGTGGTACCTAAGCTGGCAGGATCCCGACTTCATCCAGGAAGGAGTAATAGATCTCTTTGATCGTCTCATTCCCTATGACTTTCGTCAGTGGGCAGCAACCTGAGATTCTACCCAGCTCCTAAGCAGTTCTGCAGTGTATCCTTAAGGTGTACCGCAGAAAGGTTCGGTACCATCCAAACAGATTTGGGCTCCACGTTTTGCGAGACAGTTTACCCTTTCGTTGCCTTCAAACCCTTCTTGCCCGGAACACACCACAGCGTTACGCTATTATGTGCTCCTAGGTGGTCCACAAGCCTTGATATCATTTTAAAAACTCCAAGCCTTTAACAATGCCTTACCACCCGAGATAATATTTATTCTGAACCTGAAGGACAAATTTCTACGAAGGCACTCGGGAATACAGACTTCGACTGCGAAGACCAGCGCCTGGAATGTGGTTGGGTATGTGCCCAGTGGCAGACTTTTCTGCAATCTTGGTGTAGAAAGAATGGCTTGAAAACCTCTATATCACCCCGAAGGTCTTCACTTTTCATTCTAATCGAATTGGGCAGCAGGCCACTTTTTCAAACCGAAAAGACAATTGAGGAATGCCTGTAATGACACCAAGGGCATCCGTTGGGCAGGTATGCATAGCTCCGGGTTTTACTACCGTTTTGAAAAACCAATACGTTAGTTTGGGGGATATTCGCCAAGTCTTATCACAAAGTCCCGAAGAAAAACATCATGACAGTATTTTGCTTTGTTTTTCATTCCATACCTAACTCTAGCATAGCATTAAACATTTTAACACTATTTAGATTTGCAGTTAATATTTTGAGCAAAAGTAAAAAGGTACGAAATTTAAGAAAAAGCTTTAAAAAAGCTAGCTAAACAGGATTTTTCCGGCTAAACCCAAATAAAAAAGCTAAACCTAATCGGAAAATAGCTAAAATGCCAACACTGCTCCTCACACGACGATAGTGGCAACATCGATGATTTTCGATAGTTTTAATCGATAATATGGATGGTTTAATAGGGTGGCCCGTTAAACGGAAAAGGGATGTACAAATATTATTTAGGTAGTAAAAAAAGAATTACGTAATTGTATTATGAAAATAAATGAAAAGTTGTATTTTTTTAGCTTTTAAATCCGTTCAATATAAATAATATGTCTAAATAAAATAATATTTGTTACCTTATCTGCTTGACACTTGAAAGCCAGTAGTCTAATTTACTTTCCTAAGCAACTTTTTCCTAATATGCTCGAGGCATAAATACATTTATACATACATATTTGTTCAAAATTAACTACGATAAGGAAACACTTGTTAAATCTTTTATATTTCCTAGAAGAACCCCTGTTTTGGTATGGCTCTAGACTTACTTATTCTCACAGTTACTCTATGATACAAAAATAGAAGGTAGTTTAACTAAAATCATGCTACCAGAATCATTAGCAGCAACATTTTTTTTTCTTGAAAAAGTAAAAAGGAATTTTGAAGCTAGAGAAGTTGGATGAAAATATTAACCGCCCAAACCAGATTTTTCTTGATAAATTATTTGTAAAGAAATTCTATCAAGATTTTTATCAAGTAAAAGCCTCCCATCGCATTCTGTGTCAATATTTATAAAATAAGAAACTCTACGATTTCCTCATGAGTGGAACTGATTTCATTGTCACATGTGTAAGGCTTCCTGAAGTGGGCCCCAAATTTACCAAGATTAGATATTTTTCAATGATATTCAGACACTGTAAATTTTGTTGCAAAATTCCAAATAGTTTTTTTTTTTTAAATCAACAATTGAAAATTTTTGCAGTGTTTTGGAAATTTTTATTTTTCTTTGAAAGTGCCCGAATATAAAAATTTTTTTGGGTGCAGATTTAAAAAACATTAAACTATACAATCAAATTATTTGCGTTAGAAAAATATATTTTTTTTTTTGCTTTTCAATAATTTTTTTATGAAAAATTTAACTTTTAAGCAATTTCTGCGCCTCATGGACGAAAACTTTTAACAACAACTTCTGTAATAAACATTTCTGCATTTATCTATTAAAAAAATGAGTGCATTTCGATATAGGTTGGTGAATTTTTATTTGCCAGCGTGCGCCCCGACTCCCGCGGGCATGAATAATATGAATTTAAACGCAAAAAAGCTTTTGACTGCCGTAGCCGAGTAATTTCTGTGTGTCGCAGGTTCACATGCCGGCACATGCAGTATTTAAATC